GGGGGGGGGGACATCGATCAGCTGCCTCTTGCATGCCCCCTACCAGGGATCAAGCCTGCAACCTAGGCATATGCCCTGATCAGGAATCCAACTGGCAACCTTTTGGTGCATGAGATGGCGCTCAACTGAGCCACACCAGCCAGGGCTCCTGACTTCTAACTGCGATTCTCACTCTGGCCAAAGTGAGCAACTTAAGCATTCCCTGGATAGAAGCTGTGATTTCCCACAGTTCATTCATGCCTCAGTACAGCCTATTTGCCCAGGCCTAGAATGACCACATCTCCACTGAGAACAGCCTCCCGTGTAGCGCTTTATAATTTGCCAAGAACTTCCTTTTGCATTATCATAGCTAATCCTCACAACCACCCTCCAAAGAAACTATTACCAGTCTTGTGATCTCCACTTTGCAGAAAAGGAAACTGAAGCTCAAAGGTTGCGGCTTACCCAAAGTTCACAGAGACACTGAATCTTCTGACCCGAGTCACATGATCACTATTGCTGCCCCATCTTTCAAGGCCTAATTAAAATGCACAAAGAATAGTGCTGAACACATAAAGGACTCACACTTGTATTAATTACTTATTGAAACTAAAGCATTTTTATCTTGGCTGGAACAATCCACAAGTCCAGAGATGAGCCCACAGAGCTGGAAAGATAAAACAGGAGCAAACACAGGGAAGTGAGTTTCTGACTTCATAAGACAATCATTAACCCTTAAGTCACAAAATAAACCCTATGTAAGGTGACTGGGGTTAGGGAGAAGGAAAAAGTACCAGACCAGCCAAATGCAGCTAAAGTAAGGTTCTTTGCCCCAAAGCCTGATATGACTAGCATTTCTGCCTCAAATTACTTAGTTCTGAAAGCAAATTTGCATCAGAAAAGGTGGCAGATGAAGACCAGAACCATCTGCAGACCTCAGCGGAGAATGTGACTCCTGCATGTGTTTGTGCTCACAGCAAGCAGGCTTTGTGGCTTAGCATACCTTCACCTCAGTGCCTGTGCCATTCTACTGCAGGCTGTGTCTCCACATCAGAGGAGTTAACAAGATCGCAAATGGGAACCCAAATTAGATACCATGACCAGTAAGCAGCCTCCACAGGAACAATACTAAGCACAACAGGAAGCCTACAGACTGAAACAGGAAGTACCAAGGCAACGGTGAGGAGTCCAAACAGGCTAGCCTCCTATATATGAAGCAGAGGACAATGACAAAGCAGCAGCTTCTTTCTTCTTTTGTCACACTCTCCAGCAAAGCAACCTGGGAGTGACCAAAAACACCCATTTCTATAGGCAAAGCAGCTTAAATATGTATCTAGGAATCCAGAGAAGAAACTTTGCTGGAAGGGGAGCCTTTAAATAAAGAACAAGCCAGACTGTTGTCAGCTGCCTCACCCAGTGAGAAGTGTGGAAACAGAGTCTCTCTGCTCAGGCCCAAATTGCTGTGTTGCCCAGTGCCTGACACATCATTCCTCTTCTCCCCTTAAGATGCATTTACTGGCCCGGCCGGTGTGGCTCAGCAGTTGAGCACCGACCTATGATCCAGGAAACCGTGGTTTGACTCTTGGTCAGGGCACATGCCCGGGTTGTGGGCTGGATCCCTAGTAGGGGGTGTGCAGGAGGCATCCAATCAATGACTCATCATTGATGTTTCTGTCTCTTTCCCCCTCTTCCTTCCTCTCTCTGAAATCAATAAGAATATATATATATTTTTAAAGATGCATTTATTGCCCCAGAATACAGGTAAAAAAATAAACATACAATCCTTCAAATATATGCCTTCTACTGTAAGATAATTCAGATATAAGTGTGCATCACTCCTGAATGCAAGTAAAAAAAAAAACGAAGAGAATTATGCTTACTGCATCATATTATTAAGGAAAAAAGTGAGAATTTAAATGAGAAAATATATTCATTCTTTGTTTCCTTTAAGTATTAACATGTCTTTGGTCTAAATGGCCTGTTGTTTTTAGTATCAATTATATATAGCTCAATAAGAATAAAGGAACTATAAGCAACCTATTTCACCCTAATGTTTAATAAAGCTTGAAAATTTTGCAAGAATATATATAAGTAGTAAGAGTAACTGAGTTCATGAAAAACCTGGAAGATAATCTTGCCTGCCCTCCCTCCAATTCTAGTGGACTGGAACATGTCAATTCTGCCTTCTCACCATTTCCACTGTGTTTGCTTTGGTTTAGTGTAAACTGGTGGCCATGAGGCTGAAAAAAAAAAAGAGTATCTTCTTTGGTTACACACCATTCTTTCGTCTGAGCTAAAGGGCAAAGGAAACCTCAGAGGCCTGAGCTGCTGCAGGGCAAAAGGGCTCCAGTTGCCGGGAAAACTGCAGGGGTCTTTGCAGAGTGCCACCCCAGCTTTGTTGGGGGAAAGGGAGGAGGGGAGCAGCCACAGCCTTGGCCTCCTCCTCCTGCTTATGCCTTCCCAATTCAAGGATGGAAACTTTGCCCCTCTCCTCCACCAGACTCCTTCACCCTCTTTTATTCCCCCACATATGCCCAGTGAGCTGCTTAACATCTGACAATCATGCAATCAATTCCTGGTTGGTTGAACATGAGTGGTACGTACCTAATCTCACACTTCTTAGATCTCACTGATATGAGTTTCTTCTTTGAAGACTGAACCCGCTTTTGTCCTCTAACAACTGAAAAGATAATAGTTCATTTGTACCCCCAAAATTGGCACCATCAAGCAACTGGCAGAAACTCAGGAGGACCCCCCACAGCCAAGCCCAGAGCAACATCTATAAGCAACAACTGTCTGTCTGAAGCCTGCATACTGCTCTATCAGTCAGTATGAAATATTTTACAGATGTGACAGAGCTGCCTGCAGAATAAGCTGAGTAGGATTGTCACAGGTACTGAGACTTATAATGAGGTCACAGGAGCATGCGCTGAGGTTGAACTGTGAGGGCAACTGAGATGTGAGCAGTACAAGGAGTGGCATGGCATATCTCACATACTTGCTCTGAGGAAAGTGGTTTATATCCTTATGTGAAAGCCAAATCTTTCCACCATTGTCTAGCACCCATACTGCTAGTGGCTCTCACCAGAGACTTAGTATCAGGAGTGTCATTCATTTATTTAAAATATTTATTAAGCATCTGTTATGTGCCAAACACCAGACCCTGGGAGAGACTGAAAGATGAGTAACAGTCTTCCAATCAACAGGCTCAGTGTCTACTGGGGGAACAGATGCAGATGTGAGTGCTTTAATAGAGACAGGGTCTAAGAACCAGGAGGGAGGAGCAACTGACTTACAGCTTCCTATAAGTGACAACTGGGCTGGGTCCTAAGAAAACTGGGATATCTGCAGAACAAAAAGTTCAGGGAGAAAGCACTCCAGGCAGATAGAGTGGTAAATACTAAGACTTGGGCATTCCTCCCCCATTCCTAGAAAGATCCTCTTCATTGGGATGGTGGCCTCCCTTGACCACTAGGCAGCTGCTGAAATGGCACAGGGTTGGTAGGCAGGAAAGGCAGAACTGACAAGACACACATATCCAGGGGAAAGGGCAAGGCAGGCATGGCTGGCACACTGGGTGGGCTACTTGGGGGAACAGGGATACTTGGCTTGACTGGCTTACCAGGTGTCACACATATATTTTTGGTTTTACATTTCCTTTTCCTTGGTTGTTCCACCACAGGTACAAGCTCTCCATCAGTTGACATATTTATATCTGAAATCTCTACTTCAACCTCAGCATAATTTGGTAGTTGACAGAGATTTTCACCAGTATTATCAGATGAATTGCACTGGGAGAGCGCAAACTGCTCCATCTCCTTTTCAACTGAGACAATTTGGACCTCATCAGTTGCATCCTCTTCTATTATCACAGGGCCCTCCACATTACTATCATCGTCATCATCACTGATAATTATTGGAAACTCCTGGATCATAAACTGCTCGTCAGTATCAGATAACACTTCCAGAATCTCATCTGAAATTCAAGAGGCACATACACATATAGCAGACTTTCTCCATCCC